TAATATTTTTATTTATATATAGGTATATATATATATATATATAGTGATATATACGTATATATTTATGTATATCGATATATATATTTTGTTCTACATGTATTTTGATATAAATATATATATATATTAATATCACAATACAGTTAGAACGAAATAACACACATCTATATATTTTTTTATTATTTTTTTTTAAAAAAAATTTAATTTTATTTTTTAACGTATTTACATATTGAATTTTTTATATTATATATAAATATATATATATATAACAATAATTATATATATATATATATTTAATCAGTATCAGTCTACGTGTAATTTGATATTAATATATATATATATATATAATTATATATATATTAATAGTAAAATACACCTATACAGTGTACGTGTGTGTATGTATATGTGTATATATATACTTAGATCATATATATATATATATATTTATATATATATATATATATATATGATCTAAGTATATATTATTATTTTTTTACACTTTTAACATTTATTTTATTTTCAGCCAGCAGGGGGACCACCTGTCATTACAGGCAGCCCTCCTGCTGGCAATGCAGGAGGCAGCTATCCCGGCCATGTGATTGTGAGGTCCTCGCAAGGACCTCACTCTCACATGGCCGGGGGGCACCAGAGGAGGAGGATCTGCAGTGGGGGGGGGCTCCCTGGGAGTCCCCTCCACCGCGATCGCCGGCGTGAGATCGCCGGCGACCGGGTAAGTAAGGAAAGACAGGAGGATCTACTATTACGCCCGGCGGCGTTTAGAGCCGCCTAAAATAGGGCGTAATAGTACGCCCTCCGGTCTTAAGGGGTTAAACAACATAAATAAATATATGACAAAATAGCAGCAATAAAATTTATAAAGTGCAAAGACCCAAAACAACACTAATTTTCGCACATTTTCAATAAATGCTAATTTTAAGGTGCTCTGTGCTTTTAAAGAAGAAATAACACTCGTGTGCAGTGATTAGAACCACCTATTTTAATTTCACACAAAAAAAATGATAAAAAAGTGACACCCTTCTGCAGTGATCAACAACTGATTAACAAATCATGATAAACAAAATAATTACTGGCATTAACACCTTGAGAATGGAGCCAATTGTACACGTTCTAAACAAAACCAAATCAAAATGAAACCCATGTACAGGTTCACTGGTGTTTTGAAATGTTACAGGGTCAAATAAAGAGCTTGTCAATTCTTTTTTTCACATTGAAATTTGCCAAATTGGTTTGCTAGGTCTATATTGCTTTGACACCGTATAGTAGCCTAGGAATGGAAATGAATCCCATCATGGCATACCACTTGCAAAAGTAGACAACCCAGGGTATTCAAAATGGGGTATGACAAGTCAGTTTTAATAGCCACTTTGTCACAAATCCTGGCCAAAGTTAGCATTGATTCTTGTTTTTTTGCATTTTTCACAAAAAACTTCCTTTTCACTGTTGATATCATCAGAATTATAAGTTCTAGTGACCTAAAACACTCATATTTATGTTCAACAATGTCTCACCTTCTACAGGTTTTATGATGTTTTGGAAAATTACAGGATCATATATAGGGCTGCCATCATTGCGATCACATGCTCTGGAGGGGCTCGAGGGGCTAGACTCGTAGGCAATCCCTCCGACCGGAGTCGGGGGAGCAGTTAAGTATACATGCCGGGGTCCTCCAAAGCACTGGAAGTTCTATGCCCCCCTCCAGCATTAAAGCCCAAATTATGGAGGACGGCACAGAATGCCCTACGTCCTTAAGAGGTTAAAAGTGCATTGTACCTTTGAAACTCACACAGTAAAACAAATTTATAGTGATAATATAATCCTAATATGTGAATAAAAAAACTCACAGAATATATTTAAGAATGGGCAACCCCAGTAGAGGTTTTTACAGTCCAGGCTCTCCACAGGCTCTTCACAGTATGCCTCTTCCGGGAGGGGTCTGGACATAATTGCCGCACACAAGTATAGACCACTTTTTATATTTACATTTAATTATGTGGTTCTGTGTCCCAGTTGATCAAAGAAGAAGCAAACAAGTGACAATTATTTCCAAGTGGCAAATCTCTCATTCACTACTCTCTATATCACCCTTCTGCCTGTCTATTTCCTGTGTTTTGCCTATCTTTCCATATCTCTTTTCTTGTGTCCCTCAACCCATACCCACCATTTGTCCATTTCCTCAATTACTCCACTTGTGTACCCCTCCACTTATCTTACCTCCATAAGCCACGTTAGCATTTCCTTACTAGGGCTGGCCTATCCTCCTGTAGGCTAACACAGCCATCTTTTTTAAAGTAGCATGACAGTATCAATTCACTCTGTCAGTACTCTTCACGTTTGATGCTGGATACTGGGTGGAGGGTACGGGGATATAACACAGCATCATAGAGCACACACAGCATCTGACAACGGACTGGAGATTAATGTGCTCTCTCTTAACGCTCATGTGTCCATGCCACAAGTACAGTCCTGTCCAGAAAATACGAACATGTAGGGCTTGGGGGACACTGGCTACAGGGTCTTCCTCACAAAGTTATTTCACCTTCCAATGGCGGGATACCTATCTTACTAGGGATAGCAAGGGGTAGAAAGATAAATATGTGAGAACAGTGATAGTTTTCTAAAAAAAAAATAAAATCCAATCCTTATTGATTATTTTTTTTATAAAATATTTTACCTTGAAGGATACATTGAGATTTCTCTCATTTTCAAATATGTCCTGGATATGTTTTATTAGCTGACTAGATTCAGCGCTAATATAAATGGGTGTTATATCAGCCAAGAATTTTAGTCTAGGAGGTTGTGGCTTACAAAAGCACCCTTATCTTTACACTGCCTTTCCATGTCTAGTCTGTAAGATCCGTTATTTTATATCCGTGCTTGTAAAGAACATTCCATGGCTAACTACTGACTGTAAGAATCAGATAGCTTACACTACGAGTGGATCACACTGGCCTTCCTGATGGAACTTCACCTTTTTTTTACAATGTTTCAAACTTAAGTTCTAACATCTCATTCTCACCCTTATAAAAAAAAAATTTCAAGCCTAAAAATAAAACAAACATTCCCCAAAATGCAATCTTTATTAATAATAAAAATAGTAACTAGGCAGGCTTTCGTCTGTGTTTATTAATTCAATTTATACTATTTTTAAATTTTACCAGTTACTGTCCCCATGCTTTGTGATGTATTTCATTCAAAATGATATTATGATAATAGATATTTTTTATATAAATGATAATGTAAATAATGTGATTCATATATAAACTATATAACTATGTGATTTCGCTGAAACAATGTAGCATAATAAATGTTTTAATCAAGAAATATTAAGAATGGCCACTTTAGCTTGGCCTCTAATATAACATAAATGTTGTTTTTTTGTATCAACAACAGAGGCACATTACAGTCAATATCATTCTTCTATTGTCTTGTTAAAACATACTTCCGTTATATTTGCTATTATTAAACCACTCGTACAGGTTACACGCAACTCAAGCCTTGATTGTTTTTGTTTTTTGTACATATTAACCTAGAGAACAAGGCACATTGCTAAATAAAAGGAATTAATAAACATTATCTGGAAATAAATATAAACCCAAAGAATGCATACAACACAAGCTAAACACAATGGCACAACGTCACTTCTTCAAGAGCGTCCTTGAATGAAAAGTAACCTATTGCGCATTGGATTCACATGACCTACAGAACGAATGTTGAATGCAGGAAACAAGCTGTGCTATAAAGCATTCTCTCTGACCATACAATAACTGGATCACAATGAAGCCCTTTAATGGGGTATTCTTACAGTACTCTGCTGTGCTCCCATTTTATAAGTAATATCTTTTATTAAGAATTGCTCTACGATAAAAAAAAAAAAGAAGGGATAAAGCACTGAAAATATTTTTGTCCTCTGCAATGGATTGTTCATTACTCTGGTACTCAAAGGTTAACAGTATCGGAAGCTCAGGCTCAGAGTGAGCTATAAACAATGCACTTCAAGAAAAACGAAGCGTTCTGTGTACTGTTCATTCTTTTTCTTACATGTACTGTCTCTGGTGTCCTATGAAAGTGAAAGATGCTATATTTGTCTTCAAGGCAACGCCATTCCTAAGACGGTTACATTTTTCTGATGTTTGGGTTTTTGCTCCCATATGAGAAATCAAAATTGGCAACAAACCAGCCTTGTCCTTTGGGTGCACAATGCACCTCTTACTGTTAAAGGGGCAGACTTGTGGCTTTTGTGAATGAATGCTCAGGGGCTAATGCTGTGCCTAATGATAGGTCACAAATGCAACAGTGTCTTTATGGTAGTGACAACTTCAGGTTAACTCTCTGTATAAAACAGTTATCAAAGGACAACTGTCAACAAATTTTCACTTTTCATTTTTATTTTTAAGTTTATTACATGTAATGGAGCTTAATTATTCTTTTTTACATGATGTATACTGATTTTTTTTTTTTTTAGAGAATTTCACTCTTTTATCTCTTATCTCTTACATGGTGCAATCTGACCATCTGCAGCTCAACCTAACTTTCCAACCTCTGACACAGTTTCACGCAGAACAATTACAGCAGCGGGTAACTTGGGTTGAGCGTCAGTTGGTCAGAAGAGTCTGATCCAAGATAGCTGATTGGCCAGATAACAAAGGACATTTTCTCCCCCCAAAAAATGAAAAAATCAATATACATCATTAAAAAATCAATCATTAAGTTTGGGGAAGCCGTGCCTGGGGAAGCGGTGCCAAGCTGGACGGTCGTATGGGGCTGGAGCTCCTCAGGGTATTCAAATTACAGAGTGTAAAACTCAAAATAACCACTCTCTTTTGCTAATTTCTGGCAAAAATCCTGCTTATCACCCTGGGAAATACCCTGCAGATAATTTGCCACCTCTTTGCCTGTAACTTGTGGTTACAACCCATGTATGGCTCTCCTGCATCCTGTGGTCACATTCAGGAAGGGAAAGGCATCCGATCCTCTGCTTTGCTTTGTAGACTAAATGCCTAGGGTCCTGTCCCCCCCTCCTTCTAGACCGCTGGTCTTGAAGGAGGGGGGGACAGGACCCTAGGCATAGGTGAAGCATACAGCCCACAGCAGCACCGAAAGGTTATGGATTGGTTCTCAAGATGGATGACCAGCTGGGGCCTACAGCCAGAAGTATGTATCTTAGTTTGCAGTGTTACCAGCTTAGTTTTAGGGCTCTAGCTTCTAAAGCACACCCTTGGTAATGCCATGTTTACCCGCTTGGATGTTTTGCAAGTTAACGGACAGCAAATAAATCCAAACTTTATAAAAGACCTCTTTTTCCAAAATTTCTGAAATGAATGAACAAAGTCGCAGATAATTGAAATGTAAATGTATACAACATTGTGTTTTTTAGATATCATTAAACTGTTATGTACATAAAAATACATATTTCCAGAATTTTAAGTTCTAAATATTCATCCTATGTTTGACAAGGGCTTAGCATATCTTATTCCAAAATAGCCAAATTCGGGAAAACTCTCAAACTGACCTATTATTGTTACTCAGCTGTCAATTTAGTATTTACTTTCCTGTCCTCCACAATTCTTTTTTTTAAACAAATACAACTTTTTAAGTGTATTTATCAGGTTCGCCAGCTTGTACATCTAGAACTGTTGCTTATTAGAACCGGAGAATTCTTCAGTCAGACAGAGAAAAGATATTGGTTAAAGATGATGAGAATTTAGACGAGCAATAATTAATGTGAGACCACCCACTAAGTGTCCACTATTGAAAATGACTGAGTGGCTCTCGTCTGCTGCAAATGTAATGAAATAATTTTGCATTTGGATAAAAATGTAGGGCATTCGAAGTGCATGCGAGAATTACACAATTTCTTGCATTGGAAACTGATCCCTACCAATCCAAACTCAGACAATTACAATATCTCTGTGATGTTCAAACAAATGTGTGAACTGTCAGTTATACAGAAAGCAAAGAATCTTTTTTTCCAAAGCGGAGTTCAAACACTGACTGACTTTGATGCGCAGCTCATTATTTTTATAATTAGCCATAAAAAAGTTCAGACCCTATCAATAATTTACAACATTCCCATGGTTATTGGCATAAAAAAATACATATTTCTGTTTAATAGAGATAAGGTTTCAAGCAGAAGTAGTCTATTTTTTTCACCCATTTTTTTTCATGAAGTTTAAGCAAGCCATCTTACTTACTGACTTGTCATATTAAAAATTTAAATTTGTTTATAAATGCATTTTTTTTTTTTTTAAAGGAACCAACAGTAGCATGAAGCTGATTCTGCATCTCCTTCATGGATACATTCCTTAAAGGGATCCTGGTGGTTTAAAGAGATAACTAAGCAAGCCGACCCCGACTGCCATGGGGATCAAGGAACAAATATCTGAAACACGTAATGGACCTCTTTGATGTTTCTTCTGCCACATTTTTCCATTTTGAATATATGTAGTAATATGGCTTCCAACATCTTTATTTTACATCAGGAAGAAAGAAAGAATAGATTTTTATAATAGTCTAGATCGGGGTAGACAACGTTTGGCATTCCAGATGTTATGAACTACATCTCCATTGATGCTTGGCCAGTATTATGGCTGTAAGAATATAATTTATTTATTTATAAAATATTTTACCAGGAAGGATACATTGAGATTTCTCTTGTTTTCAAGTATGTCCTGGGTCCACAACCATTGCATTGATACAATAGGCTAGAATAAAATACAAAAACAATATTAATACACTATATATATATACAAAATTTAATATAGAACAGGTAAGAAATATATAATTAACCATGACAGGTGCATTCTGTTTTGAGATATGTAGAGAGGGATCTCTTAAAGGACTTTAGGCCTGGGGAAGATTTTAAAGTGTGCGGGAGGTCGGTCCATAATTGCGGTGCTCTGTAGGAAAAGGAGGATCAGGCTGCTTTCTTTTTGTAGTGAGGTAGACTAAATAAAGTGCTGGTACTGGATCGGAGGTTGTAAAAAATGGGAACAGCCGAGGAGAGCATTCTGCTCAGGTAGGGTGGGAGCTTCCCAGAAATGCTCTTAAACACAAGGCTGGAAAGATAAAGGATGCGTCTGGATTCCAGCTACAGCCAGTTTAGTTCTTTTAGCATGTCACAATGGTGGGTCACATAATTACATTGTAGCACAAAGCAGCAGAACGAGTTATTCGATGTATTAAGTTCATTAAGGTAGGTTTGAGGTACAGGTGCATAGACTACATCCCCATAATCAATGATTGGCATCAGCATTTGCTGTACAATCTTTTCCTTTGCAGGATTTGTTTCTGTACAGGATACCTAGTTTTGGATAAAGATTAGATGCAAGTCTTTCTATGTGGAGGCCAAAAGATAGACTGGGGTCTAACATCATACCCAAGTATTTGAAAGAGTGGACTGCGGTCAGTGTGCTATTTGCTTTTGTTTTGATGGGTAAATGGGAATTTTGTAATTTCTGTAATTTAGGTACTGTTCCAAAGATCATTGTGATAGGTTTGTCAGTGTTTAGGAAGAGTTTGTTTTTTGTGATCCATTTTTCTACCTCTGTGAACTGGTCTTGGAGCACAGCCTCAAGCTGCGGTAGATCGGATTTGCTCGCAAAGATCACTGTGTCGTCTGCGTACATGTGTACATTTGAGGATTTGCAGACATTAGGCAGATCATTTACAAATAATGTGAATAGTAGGGGGCTGTGAATGGAACCTTGGGGAACACCACATGTGACTGGGAGAGGGAGGGAGTCCCTGTCAGAAATGGACACATATTGTGATCGATCTGACACATATGATTGAAACCTGGTTAACGGACAATCACCAATACCTGAATTTTTGAGCTTGTGCAGTAGAATGTTGTGGTCTACTGTGTCAAAGGCCTTTGCAAAATCAAGGAAAATAGCTCCAGTTAGGTCTCCTGTTCCATGCCAGTTTCGATGTCATTGCAAACTTTTAAGAGGACAGTTGTACTAGAGTGATTAGGGCGAAAACCTGATTGATCAGGGGTCAGATAGTTATATTGCTGGTATTACTCACATAGCTGCATATGGATGCATTTTTCTAATATTTTTGACAATACTGGGAGCAATGATATTGGGCGATAGTTAGAAACCAAAGTAGTGTCACCACTTTTATGGATAGGAACAACGACTAGAGTGCTGAAGGTTGCCTACCCCAGGTCTAGATCGTAAATATGGCCTGCATGCTATTAAAGGGAGTACGTGAAAAGGAAAAATACACTTGGGTAAGGGGTAAGGGGATGTCACCGCAGCTTGTTATTTATGTTTCATATGACTTCAAATACACTGTTGGCTATTGGTAGAATTCACAAAAAAGTTTGAGGTGACATGAAGAAACGGGTGAACAGAGGGAACAGGAAATATGTAGTAGAAATAGGTTTGTAACCTCTTCAACATCATGTGTTGATTGAGAAACTGAGAGAAGACTAGAACTTTAAGGAGTTTGAGAAGTGATTTCAAGAAGGAGTGCCTATGTACTTTATTACTCAATAATAATAAGGGTTATGCCTATAAACCAAGATGTACATCTCTTCAAGAAAAGTGTCCCATATCTTTAGTTGTGGATTCTACTACATTTGTGTTGTGTAATAAAAGTGGATTAAGCTTCCACGTCCATGAGCGCATTATCTTTAGGTGTTGATAGATAGAGTTGATAGAGTCCGAGATATATCTGCATGACCGGACCAAGTTATTCATCCTATCTCAGAATTAAAGATTATGTTAGCTTTAGTGTACTAACAATCTTAATTTTAATAATGACAGGAGGCAAATATTTTGCTAACCTTTCTTTACTAACTCCATATAGCATCAAAGAAAAGTAATGAAAAACTGAGGACCAATCAAACACAAGCAATGTATATAAGAGGCGTGTATAACTGAGTCACTTCCTCTTTAACAGCATCATCACTAGTCCATAAATCCACTTGAAATTGTAGATGTTTGATGTGCTTTAACTTCAAACAATAAACATCAGAACCAGTATTCCAGTAATAGGACTGTCGGCGATCCCCTGCAGTGTCCAATTAGCTGAAAGAGAGTATAAACAGTTTTAGTTCACTGAATGGGTTGCATGGAAGCATGCATCCTGACTGTCCTGCATTGGGAGTTAACATTACACCCAAGAAATCCACCCCCAACTAATCTAGCTCACTGGATATAAAACAAGTCCCACCCCCAAGAGGCATCCACAAAAACAGGCAAAATCAAAATAGGTGGAGATATAGGGAGGTAGATAGAGAAGAAGCGAGAGAACGTGGGGGTGGGGAAATATTCACCTCCTGTCATTATTAAAATTAAGATTATTAGTATACTAAAGCTAACATAAACTTGAATTTTACCACATGACAGGAGGCCTCATATTTTGCTATTTCAATGCTGAGAGAGAAGAGAAAAGGCATGGTTTGTGGCTGGATGAAAATAGAATTCCAGAACGTAGAATCGCCTGACCAATCTGCCGCACTCAGGATATCGTGGAGCGAGGTTCCTGCCACCAACGCCGACGAAGCCGCCGCTCCGCGTATCAAATGAGCTCCGAAGTTCTGATCTATACCCACTAGGGCTAGTAGCCAACGGATCCATCTGGCCAGTGTTGTGACCAGATACCGGATTATGGGGTTGACTGTATGAGATGAGAAGTTGACGAGATGCAGGAGGCCGCAACATTGCGGTAGCTTCCATGTAACAGCGGAGTGTCGCTCCTAAACAGAGTTGCAGGTCCAAAGGCAAAAATGGATAAAAAAAAATGAGGATGAGTCCGATTTCGTATGTCGTTTCGTACAGTTGATGTGCATGGAGAGTTCTTCTGAGGTCCAGACACCTACCGTGGCGATAGTGCCGTCCACAGCCGCTCAGTATATCAGTTGGTGTCTGATTCCAATACAAAGTCTGGCTTGTTGCCAAATATGGCTTGACCGTTCCAGGCCTGCATGGAAGAGGATACTGGGAACTTACGGGAGGTGAATCTTGCCCTGGAGCATCCTCTGCCTCCACGACCGCAGTCTGAGCCTCTGGAGTAGTGGAACAGTTGGCGGTTTCACATCTCTGGGATGAAAGGTTGTGTTAGGGTTGT